ATGAAACTCAGGAGGCAAAGAAAAGAACAGGATGGTACGACCACGTGGAGACCACGTGACGTGTCAGGCTATGAGGAAAGAGCAGGTGCCTGCCCCGAGCACAGGGCCATGTGGATGTTTGCGCTCCCATGATGGTCAGCACCATCCAGTACACTTGCTAGCGATGTGGGGGAGAGCCTCAAGGGGCCCAGGAGAGGGTCCCTTAGTGACAGAGTAGGCCCACTTGCAGTCTAGATGCAGGTCCAGAAGTTTGGGATTCCAGTAGAAAGGACCACAGGGTGAGTGAGGAGGAGAAGAAAGCATTGGCCCCTGGAGAAAAGTGTGGCTCAGCAAGTTTGGACCCCAATCTCCGAAAGGCCACAAGAGAGAGACAGAAAGAATGAGAAAAGTAAAGAAAGAAGGTGGGGCAGGGTGGGGGTGGTGAGGAACTAGGGGAAAGGAAAAAGAGATGGAATAAAGATGATCATAAACTAGTATGTTCAATCGCGACTCTCTCTGATAGGGTTGGTTTAGGACAGATCACCCAGATTGATTCAAAGCCCTGAGCTGAGTCGTTAATAATAAAGATAAGACACGTGAGACACTGGGTGAAGGGTTGCGAGATGAGGCAGCAGGAAGGCTTAGAGCAGGAGCGATGTGAGGGAGGAAACTCCCAACAGTCCCAGCGAGGAAGGAGTCCTTGCTCGCGGGTTCAATGGCTTGAATGGAATGACTCCCCCATCTGACTCCGTCCTTTTCACTGACGAGCCTCGACTCTTCCGTGGAAAGGACAACGTAAGCCGGGAGGAGGGAGAGGGAGGATGGGGGAAATGACCATGAGTGAATGGATGAGAAATGAGGATTTTAATGAATTCCGCCCTGCACCTGAGGCTCATCAGGATGAAAGGATGCTCACATGAGAAGGGAAGAGAGAAAGAAAAAGAAAGAAAGGAGGAGTTATAGGAACGGACAACAGGATGGAGTTGAGGCAACACAGCTCCATGGGTTGCATGCAGGTGGACATAAAGATGCCCCATCCGGGCCATACTGTAGCGAAAACAATGCCAAAGAAGGCCCAAGACAAGAACTAAAACCATTCAGAATGCACCCTCCCCCCCACCGGAGATGGTTCAATTAATCTTGAGCCAGATAACCAGGAGCAGGAATTAAGGGACAAAGGCAAGGAGTCCCACGTGGACCCCTGCCGAGAAGGCTGTGGGAATCACAGATTACGGTTAATCCAATTCCGTGCACCTGAGGTTCATCCATGAAAGGATACAGATGGGAATGAAAGGGGGACGGGGGAACGAATGGAAGCAGGGGCGAGTGGATTTGCAAGGACAGTTTGACAGTTTCACCCCTGTGGGTTCTCCGACCACGGCCCCCCTGGTTCCAGGCACCAGGTCGTAGACAGTGCAGATGTACGAGAAAGCCGGCGTCTGAAAGAGAAAGCAAGCGTTCGGAAAGGGAAAAGGCACTAGTGCAAGGGGAAGAGGGGGAGAAGCAAGTTGGAAAGAGTTCCGGAAAGGCAAGATGGAGCCGGCGAAAGAAAGGGAGGAAAAGCCATGAAAAGATGACCCAATTTGTCGGGGAGCTCTGTCACAGAGTGCTGCATTCGGGTCCTCTGTGAGGGCCGTCATCGTTCATCCAAAAGATGGATGGGATCATCCAAATCCATGCTCCTGGGGGACAGGGAAATGAGAGATAATAGCAAAATAAGCACAGAGAGAGAGAGAGAGATTGAAGAAGGAAAGCAGTCAAGATCATAGACAGCCAAAGTGATAAGTGAATATTTAAGCGAGTATGCTTGTGAACCAATTCCAATCCCTGCTCAAAAAACCTCTCAAGTATTCACTTTTCACTTCCCTTGTTTACGATCTTGACTTTTTCTCTTCTTCCACCTGTCAGAGTTGATAAAAAAGACCCACAGACTAGACTGTCGCGTCCACCATTGACATAAAAGTCTGGGCATCCGCGGTCCATGAGTAAAAGAAGAGCCCCCTCTGTGTCAAAGGTGACTCAGGGCAGAGAAAGCGCTGGTACCACACACACAGAGCAGGGTAGGGGTGTTCATTTCGCACAATGGGCCCTCACTGAAGGAGACTGATGAGAAGCAAAGAATACGCCAATAAGGTAGAAAGGAAGAAGGAGTGAGTGGGTGGAAGGACGGATGGATGACATCTGCAGTCTCCAGGGGCTGGTGCGAAGCTCTTGCACCTGGGTTTTTAATGCACAGTTCTGCGCCCCTGAGTTGATAAGAATGAGAAGATGTAAGAAAAAGAATGGGGGCAGGGAGAAAGACTAGCTCTAGGAAGAAAAGAATAAGGAATAAATATCACAGATGAATAAAAACATTGACCTTATGGAAGGCAAGCCTTGATGAACCAAGGGTTACGACGAATTCACAGTGGTGTGACCAAAGTCCGTGAATTACATGCCATGGAAATGAATGAATGGATGGATGAATGGCGGGAAGGCGGGGAGGAGGGAGGCAGGGAAGACTGTGCCA